GGACAAGGAACAATCTCCAAACGAATTATTCAGACCATAAAAATTCAGATTCACAAAATTTAGCGTGGATTTCAAGACAAAAGAAATTGTTCAGATCAGACCAATATAGCATAAAGCGATAGCTGTAATACAAACTGGGCGATTGAAATCAAGTTCTTTGTTTTTTTATTTGTGAAGAGTATTACTGCTTCGGCACGACCGAATTTACCGTTTTTATTTTTTTTTTGGTTTTAATTGCACTTTATGCAGTGACATAGTGCCTATCGCCATCTATTGATGTGCTATTAGCGTTGCCATTAAATAATGTTCGATGATACATATATACAGTTAACGTTAAATACATGGGTAAGCAATATTTATGTATCAATTTATATATAGGTATTTATGTAACTGTATTTTCGTAAGTTGTAGCTCCTCATTCTTACTAATTGGTTTATTTATTTGCCCACTATGCCACAAATCCCTTTTACTTATTTACACACACATACAAACATATTTAACCACTCTCCGTTGTAAGTGTGTATTTGTATTAGTATATGTGCGCTTTTATGCTCACTTTCATAACCACATAATTGTCAATTAGTGATTAATGTGGAAAGTGTTTTCCTGGTCCTTTATATGGTTGCCACTTTGTTTCGATGAAGCATAACTGCGCAAGCTTACATATTGGCTCTTTCACTTGGTTAATATTCAAAATTAATATTTATTACATTCAAACGTATAATATACATACATACAAGCACTTGCACATACATATAAATACTCATGTCGAATTGAATTTTCCCGTACAAATGCATGGGCTAATTGAATTCGTTTGGCTGCTGACAAAATAATTTAAGTTGCTGTAAATTAATGCCGATGTATTTAAGCTCGTTTGGTACATGTGTATACATGTATTCAATTATTCCGTAATTGGGAATTCGAAATCTGAGAGAGTCACGTGTTTCAGCAGAAAAGCATTATAACAATTTGTTGTTAAAATGTACACAAACATTTTAATTACACTTAAAGCGTAACCACAAACGCCACTTTGATCTGTTTTAACATATATTTGCGAATTTCAGTGAGTTAACGTCACTCGACCAAATCAGCACTCTCTCCCACTCTAAAGATTGTTACTGTTAAGAATTAACACTATTAGTATTAGACTTCTCTTGAATTGAATTGAAATTGTGCTTCGTAAAATCATTCCCAAAATCGCAATCAAATTTGAATCAAACATATACATCTGATCAAATTTATGACGAACTGACAAAAAAATATAAAAATTTTACGTATTGTAATTCAATACAAATCTTTATTATCGCCTTCAAAATATACTCCTTTTGAGCTAGTACAAACATGCCGACGATTTATCAAATTTTCCACACACTTGCTAAATGTCTCGGCTTGGATGGCTTTCAGTGCCTTCAGCGAATTTTCCAGTTTTCATTTTTGGAGCGCCATTCGCTTGATTATTGAGCAGCTTCGATGTCATATTCATAAACCCACGTCTCGAACCAATAATGATGCACTTGATGATTGTATAGTCCGCAGGTACGTTGTCAAGCATCACTTTGAGATCTCTACTCGACGTCGTTTTTGCCAAAGATATATCCGCTTTGGTACTAGTCTACCATTGTAACGCTTCATACCCAAACCATAGTATATGCTGGAACTAGGTAAGCTGCGATGAGGAATATGTATAAATCCGCGCAAAACAAGTCACATATTCATATTTCCAAAGCCGAATTTGTTTTTAACAAATATTTTATACATACAGGTTGGTTGAAAAGTTTCTGCGCTCGAAACGAAAAAATACTGTTTTTGGTACGAGATATATTTTTTTATTCAATATTATCTCTCTTAACTTCAATGCTCTTATTGCAATGATCCTCCAAAAATTTTATGCCATCCCTATAATGACTTTCTGGAAGCTCTGCAAAATACCAGTCTACAGCTGTAAAAGCTTCTTTATTCGACGAAAAACCCTTTCCACGAAGGAATTGTTTCCGGTTTCTGAAGAGGTAGTAGTCGCTGGGAGCCAAATCTGGTAAATACGGTGGATGCTCAAACAATTCGTACTTCAATTCGCCTAATTTTGTAATTGTCTGAACAGGTACGTTGTCTTGATGAAACACGATTTTTTGTGCTGTAAACCAGGTCTTTTCTTACGAATTTCTTCATCCATCTGATCCAAAAGGCCGCAATAATATTAAGAGTTGATTGTTTTACCTTTCTGCAGATAATCAATCAACAAAATTCTTTTTGCATCCCAAAAACCTGATGCCATAACCTTCTATGTGTATCGTTGTGACTTCCTGCTTTGGAGCTGAACAATCAGCTTCAGTCCACTGTAAACGTTCCTGTTTAAATTTGTAATCATGGTGGTAGATCAAAGTCTCATCCATAGTTATAAAACGACGCAAGAAATCGGTTTCATTCTGCTTAAAACGCTCCAAATTATTCTGACATATTTCTATTCAGTTTTTGTTGAATTGTTAACGTATGCGACACTAACTTTCCAAACATCTTTATCATATGTAATTCGCCATGTAGAATATGAAGTACTCATCCGTCTGAGATGCCTATGGCAATAGCAATTTCACGCTTGATCAAACTGAGATCTTCACTAGCAATATTATGAACTTGTTCAATGATTTCTTGTGTGGTTGCGGTTTTTGGTCGTCCTTCGTGTGTATCGTCTTCAAGCCTAGTATGACCACGTTTAAATTCATTAGCCCACAATTCAACGGTGCGTTTTGAAGATGAGGACATTCATAAATTTCCTTTGTTTTTAAACCTTTCGAAACAAAGAATAGAGTCACTGCGCGATATTCAATTCCATATTTAAACAAGTAAGGGCTAAGTTCGGATGTAACCGAGCATTTTATACTCTCGCAAAGTCTAATGGTATACAAGTTTGAGATTTCTTTGTGGATTGACTGATATTTTCGGTAGAAGGTCAACTATAGGCACTGGGGTCCACATATTTAGTACTTAGGGGCTTGAACAGTTTTGGTTCGATTTAGACAATTTTTGGTCACAAGGTGGCATACTTTAAACGTATTATTCACGCAAAGTCTTACCCCGATATAATCATTGTTGCTTGATATGCATAGTGGAAAGTGAAAGAATCAGATATTGAAAATGCTGTTATATGGGAAATAGGCGTGGTTGTAGTCCGATTTCGCCCATTTGGTTGAAATCGGTAAAGCAGATCCCAATATATGGGTTTTCACCTAAAAGTTGGCGGTGCCACGCCCACTGTCTAATTTTGAACGCGGTTCCTATAAAGTTATCTCATACCATCCCACAGATAAAATTTAATGTCTCTGGCGTGTTTCGTGCTTGATTTATCGCGCTTTTAGTAGTTTTTAACAGTACCGTTATATGGGGTGTGGGCGGAGTTGCCACCCGATTTCAACTATTTTCACACTGTAGGTAGAGGTTCTAAAAACATTTGCTTGCAGTTATTTTGTTATTATAGCATTAGCGGTTTGGGAGATATGCACATTAAACCTATTAGGAGCGGGTCTACGCCCACTTAAAAAAAAAAATTTAACTGCAGATGCCCCTCCCTAATGTGATCGTGTGTACCACATAACAGTCTTGTATCTTATTGCGGAGCTTAGTTATGGTAACTTATTTGTTTTGATTAATGGCGTTTTGTGGGCGTGGCAGTAGTCCGATTACGCCCATCTGCAACACTAACCGTCTCCCGGTATCAAGAAACATGCCTACCAAGTTTCATAAAGATATCTCAATTTTTACTCAAGTTAGAGCTTGCACGGACGGACGGACGGACGGACAGACAGTCACCCGGATTTCAACTCGTCTCTTCATCCTGATCATTTATATATATATAACCCTATATCTAACTCGATTAGTTTTATGTGATACAAACAACCGTTAGGTGAACAAAACTATTATACTCTGTAGCAACAAGTTGCGAGAGTATAAAAATACTCTGCACGTCAACTTCAAATGGCTTGTAAACAAAGAATTAACTGATAGAATGACTTGTTACTTTGCATGTGTTTTCACGACAGATGTGCCAATTTGAGAAGAAAATAAATTTCGAGCTAGTAGTGCAATTTCTTTTTAAGAGTTGAAACTCTTCAACCAACCTGTATGTATAAGTTAACACGAGTAGCTTCTCTGCAGCAAAATAGCTCGCACGTGGACTGAGTCAGCGAATTTGTGTTCTTCGCTTGCCGCTTCATGCGAATGTCAATGCCATGCAACGGCACCATTAATAAATAAATCAAATAAACAAATTAATATCAATCAATGTGTTGAGATATATGAAGTTTACTTGAAATTCTCAGTAAAATGCCCAACATATCCTAAGGACTAAGCACCCCCGAACATAAAAGTAGTAAAATATGCAATATAAGTATATTATAGAACACAACAATTCAGCAAGCGTTAGATAGTAGCGAATCGAACAAACTATACCAGCTGTTTCAGCCAACAGGCAACATTTGTCCCTTAAGCTTTCTAAAATCGATTTTTATATTCAAGTCTGCTAGAATTATATATATATTTCAATGATTAAGTTTTTGTTATCAACTATTTCATTAGATTTTTATCTTTGTATTTGAATTTTTGACAGCTATTTGCCATTTGGCGTCAAAAAATGGCGAACCGAAGACACCTTGTATTTTATTGATCCATTTTCTATTAAAAAAAAACTTTGTAAAGTTAGGTAAGGTTTGTTATACTAAATTATGATTATTCAAATTTTTACTATTTTGTTTTTTTTTTTGTTACAGTTTTTTAATCACTTAAACTCTAAAAATATACTACCATTTCTATACCTAAAAAATTATTATTGTTTTGGATGTTTACCTAATATGATGCTAAGAAATGTTTCTTCCAAATTCATTGATATTTCCTATTCAATCCAAACAATATTTTATTATTGTTTGCACCACACAAACACATAAGATAGCATTTCTCGTCTAAATGGCAATAAATGTCTAATGGAAAGCTCTAATTTGTAAGAAATTTACGACGCTTACCTGGGATTGCAACACAAAACCACTTAACTTTAATTCACCAAATATGCTCTGCAAACATTTAACACGATTATTAATGTTTGATTACGCTCATATTCTCACACACACACACATAAATTCATCTCTTTTACATTATATAACTGTACATACACAAATTATATAACTGTAAACGTCTTAGCCAATTTATTTATGCCAACCTTTATTTAAATGACATGCGTAAATTACTGAGGGCACACAACAATCGAAACGCCCGATATAGATGAGAGCCATAACTCTTAAGATACTTTTAGCTTGCTGAATGAATACACACACGAACTGAACTGAATGAATAAATGATTAAGTGCTAAAGTGAATGAATGAATGAAATGGGAGAGTAATATTCAAAGATATATATAAATAACAATAGATGAAATGGACAAATGTCATTCATTCACAGCGACGAAGTGTTGGTGGCAAGTGTAAAGAGCAGCCGAAGACAAAAGAGAAGAAGAAACAGCAGCAGCAGTATAAGTAGTGTGCTTAAAAGGAAAAACATTGCAGTGCTTTGTGCTAATACTTCAAGGAAAGCGCAAATAAAAATAACAAAAACACAGTGAAAAAGAAGTGGTAGTCGAGAAAGGGAGAGAAGGTGGGAACTGCCACCAAAGTGGAGACATCAAGTGTGGTCTCATCGGTGCTAAATTAAATTTATAACATCGAGTACACGAAACAGACGTTATCCGGCCGCCCACTGTGGTTAACACAAAAAGATGCGAGAATAAAATAAAAATCTAAATGAAATAAAATAGGAAAAATAAAAAACAAATATAACAGGAAAACAAAACGGCGCAGTAGAACGTAGAAGACAAAACTAATGGGCTGCAAGTCCATGAGGGAGCAGACGTGGCAGTCAAATGTAAATGGAACACTCATTGCCGCTGAGCCGAGCGCAGCGAGCAGACAACAATTCACAGTGCTATCGGTGTGGTAGTTGGTCTTCAACGGCCTGTAACTGTCGACGATAGCATTGAACGGTAGGCGTGAGAGCGACCAACCACCGGCAAATGTATAATAAATTGCATGAAAAACTCAATCATTACGCCAGCAGCAGGGAGCTAATTTAGTTGTACACATCACCAGCTAACAGCTAGCCCACAGCCTTGGCAACCAGTAAGGCCAACCTAACAACCGGTCAACTGCTGGTTTGTGATTTTGGGGGCTCAGATTGAATGACTTGTTCACACTGCGGTATCGCAGCAGAGGCAGAGATAGAGGCAGCAACAACACTGTCATTTATTTTCGTTCACAGTTCTCAACAACAACATCATCATCAACAACGACAACAACAGCAACACGTATTAGTGGCAACGTAATTTCATTTGCATTTGCATCCCCTCAACAGCTTGAGGAATAGCCAAAGACACGACGCAGTTGGGGCCCGGTGCAAAGGAATGATCGTATTAGTTGCTGTGGCAGTCAAAGTGACGGTACCAGTAAGACAACTTATGCCATAGTCGCCTCGGTGTCACTTTAAGTTGCCGTCAGTGGAATAGCAACAAATCACTGTCAAAGGGCTCATTGTCATAGTGTGCGCAGTAGAGTCGGTCGAACTTTGCAGACTCTATAGTTTAGTTTAGAGTAGGATAGTGTCCGCTTGACGTTCAGTCGCTTGTGACATTTTGCTACAGTAAACATCTGCCTGTTTGTTGTCCTTCGTCGCCTGTCGTTCGCCGTGCGCCGTGCCAACGTCATTCGTCGTTCGAAGTTCGAAGTACCCAAAGGCGTTTGTTCGGGCGGCTGTGGCAGTGGGTGGGTGATGCCAACCCATTGAGAGCAAATGATGAAGCACAAGGGTTCCAGTTATTGCTGTCGCTGGTTCACACTTTTCTTGCTCGCCATGGGCATTGTTCTTGGTAAGTAGCATTCATTGTCTTTGTATTTTGTAATCATTATTTGTTTTCGTCCTTTAATGGATTTGCTAAATATCCCGCTTAACTGCTACTTTGTTAGTCATAATAATTAAAAGTAATGAAGAACAATTCTTGGTATAATACAGTTTGTCATCGCTAGTTTATTGGTGGGCATTTAAGATAGGCGTGATAACGAGCACGGTGTGCAACAGATAAAAGTGTGTTTAGGAAAATGAGTTCGAAAGGAATTCAATAGTCAAGTGTAAAAGTAATTTACAGGAATGAAACACTGAAGGAGAATATTACATAAAACCGAGTTAGATATGCATATAGTATAGAAATAAATTGACTAAGGAAAGTACGGTTAAAAAACTATAATATAACCTTAGGATGATTCTATAAATACTTCTCTTATCTTATCTTAATGAAAACCAAGCGACCATCTTTATAAGCCTTTAAAGTATAGGAGTAAAGGAATTCCGAATTAGGTTTGGTTGTTTACAATACAGCTCTAATCTGACTTAACTTTAAAGAATACATACATATATATATCAATATTTTAACTAATTTCTTTTGCAATTTTTTTAGTTTTTCGCCAGCGATTAAACAATTGAAGTTTTATTTTAATTCTAGTCATGAAGTATTACCTAGCACCTCTGTTTGCTCAAAATGGACTACTTTTTGCAGTCATTTATATCTTAAAAACTCTATGTTGTTGAGAGCGGGATGAAGTTGGAATACTTTTTCGCTATGATGTCATAGAATCCGACCTTATCCTATGCAGAGTTAAAACTTAAAACTGATTGAAAAATGTCCCTAAGGTCTTCTTTTGCAAAAGCCATACGCAAATTAAATCTACCCAGCTCAAAGTTTGTCAAAGAGTAAATTAAAAAATTGGGCATGATTACTGTATAAAAATAAAAAGAGAGTATAAAATTTGAACATTCTATTACGGTAGTTCTTAACAGAATAGCTAAAATTATATAAATTCAGTGTCCTTCATACATCTTGTGAAGATCTTTTAAATTGTGTCCGTAAGTAAGTAAGTATATAGTATTTTGGCCCATAATATACGTCAATTAGTATTTAGATTATTACAAAAAAAATGGAATTTTTATCGATTACATAGGTCCAAAAAGTCAAATTACCAATGACTGTCCTATTATATAAATAATAATAAAAGATAAGAAATCAAGAGCGCCAGTCTATTAAGTGTACCAAGAAATATCGAGTCTCTTTTTTTTTATGTGATTTTAAATTTTAACCCACTCCCTAAGAGACATATATGAAAAATTTCATTTTGTTACTCGGTAAAACGACCAATAACCCACTGATGGTGTGCAAACGCCTAGCTGGTAGAACTTGGGGCTGCAAACCAGGCATACAACACTAGATGTATACCATGATAGCCAAACTTCTTGTCACACGCTTCATGCCCGAAATTTCCGAAAAACTACATGGTATGAGCCAACTGATATGCCGACATCTTTAGCAACTTCCCTAATAGTGATTTGATGATTCTCCTTAACAGTTTTCGTCATTTCATCAACATTTTAATCGGTTGTTGCTGTTTTTGGGAGTCCAGGATGAACGTCGTCATTCACATTTTGTTCAGCTCTTTGAAAAGCTTGTACCACTTGTAAACAATTTTTTGACTCAGAGAATATTCACCGTATGCCAATATCAACATTTCAAGTGGTTTTGAGCATTCAGTTTCCTTTATTGAAAGCAAATTCTTTGATCCATTTGGTTCGACAGCAGCAAATCGCTGAACACGCAAAACACGTCTAACTTTTATGCCTGTCACAAGCAAAATAAACATTCTATATAGCTGAAGCTGTGAACATATGTTCGAGACGATTGTATCAATATAACAAAGTAAAAAAATCGATAATGGAATATACGCACGCAATCGTAAGAGGAGTCAGGCTACAGATAAAATGATTCTGATACGACACTACATCTTATCTATTGTATTAACGCAGGAGCTTTACTAAGCTTTCATTCAACTGGGTTAACTAAAGGGTTGTGAAAACTGGAGAGACCAATAAAAGACCATAGATCGCTGTGCCAAATGTTGTCAGCGATTAAAAGTTTGAGAATATTGATATTTTTATTAAAAGAAATGTCGAGCCGAGATTCATACAGGTAGATACTGGACCACACAAAATTTACATATTTAGTCGTCACTTTTAAAAGGATTTTACTGTATATTTATTTTGTTTTTCTTGGCCAAATCAAAATGAATAATTTAGTTGTTATGCATTGTTATTGATTTAAAATCTCGCCATATTGACTTGCAAATAGCATATTTTCAAAGCTAAACTAATACAGGAAAGATGGAAGTAAGCATAATATATGCGTTTATACAAATATTTGCAGTTCTCCTTTACTGCTGCGCTCTGCACTTAAATTATGACTAAAGCCAGCAATATTTACATTCTCTCATTCCCTTATATTTACAACCCAACTACCAACATTTTTACGTGGTCAAAGCAAAAACGAAAAATGTAGAAACACATAAATGTATTATATATGGGAGTGTATGTGTGTGGCACATAAATACACGCATATTTTTATGGTAGATATATTGGTCTGCCGCAGATAAAAGGGAACGTGTCACGAAACACTTGCTCGTTGAGATAACAGACAAGCTACAGAGTTGTGCTGTGGGAAAATAGTCGGAAATTGCTATTGAACACTTGTTCGCCGGCACCTGGCTTTTGCTGTGGCTCTTGCACACCTGTGTATTATATGTTGCTCTGTTTACTTTAAGTTGTTTTTATATTTTTACAAGTCCGCAATTTTTCAACATTTCATTGCCGCAAAGTCGTACAAATTGTGCACACACCTACACACACTCGCACACTTTTGCTGACAGCAACTGTATTTTGTGTATTCTCACTCTCTTTATCTCTCTTCCGACGCACACATCTTCTAGTTTCCCCAGATATACACACGAATCTTGCTGACAACAATGAACAAACGACAACCAAAGGAACAACAGCAACCACAACAACAACAATTCAAGCAAGTACATTGCGTACGATGAAAATGCTAGAAGCAATGGGTTTTATTGACGCCAACAGGTACAATGTCAACGATAAGAACAACAACAATACCAACGACAACAACAACAACAATAATAATCTTAACAACTACCATTCAAATATGTTGATTGGCAACAGCAACAGGAACAGTAAAGACAGCAACAAAATGTACATTAGTGCACCGAGCACCCAGGAACTGTGGAGTCAGCAATTGCAGCAGTTAGCGGATAGAGCGACGCCGGAGGCGGAGTTGGAGCAGGAACTGGAACAAGAACTGGAGGAACATATGGTTTCAACGCCTCAATCGATGACAATAATGGTCGAAAAACACACAACAAGCCCAGCAGCAGCAACCACCACAACAACAACAATAATACCAAAAACAATAAGAACAATAAAACCAAAACCAACAACCATAGCAAAAAAAACGTTAAGCGTCAGCACGGCAACAACGTTAGCCGCAAGTAAACCGACTTGGACCACAATTACAATAGCAACCAGAGCAATCACAACGCGACATAGTGGCAGCACAATAAAGTTGCCGCCTGACAACACGGCCAATATAAATGTCAGCGGCATAAATGCGAAAGGCACAATGATATATAAGCAACAGCTTCAAAGGCAACACGAACAGCAAAAGCACCATTGGCAGCATGAAAGGCAGCAACGGCAACAACAACAGCAACACGCACAGGCACAGGTTGTTAATGCTGGCAATAGAAGAGCAGACAAGCCGCAAAAGTACATTGGCAATACTTTGCTAGGCGACAGCGGCAGCACGCAGGCATCTACAGCAATGGTTGTGGCAATGCCTGAGAGGCGTGGCGGTGGGTTGGCGAATGTGACAGCTACAGCACAAACGCAAATAGCAATCAACAGTAATAGCAACAGCAACAGCTATAGCAGCGGCATTGTTGATGGCATTTCAACGCCAATAACTGCAACAACAACAAGAATAACTGTAGAAGATACAATAATAATAACGCCAACACCAGCAACAACAACAACCACAATAACAGCACAAAGCAAGCAATTTAAGTCAGCGCGTATTTTATACGATTACAAAGCAACCGACGCCAATGTCGACTTGAAGCGCACGACGGAAACGGATGCACGAACGATTGTGGCAAGGCACGAGGAAATGGAAGTGGTTCGTCAATATCAACACAAATTCTCCAGCTCATACTTAGATGCCGATGGCAACAAAGACCACGGCAACACGCACAGTTTTGCGGCTCTCGTACAATTGTTGGCAAAGCAGCAACAACAACAGCAAAGGCAGCAGCAGCGCAGTCGCTGGGTGCGTCAAACGGAGGAGGAGCCGATAGACAAATGCCGAAAGTTTAATGAGGGTGATGCGGCGAAAAATGAATTCTACAGTCCCGATTATCCGAACGATTACCCAAAGAACATCAGCTGTACACGCGTGATTATAGGTGAGTCGTGAGTCGAGAGTTGAATGTTGCATGTGGCATGTTAACAATTACGCATACATAACTCATACGCCCTGGGCGCCAAGGCATTGCGTAAGCGTTGTATCGTTCGTACATAAAACACACATGCATACATAATTGACAAAGCACACGCCACACACCTGCCGTTACAATGAACGTGCGAACATGAAAGCGAAAGCTACATGTATATATGTATATATACAAGTATGTGTGTATACGCATGTCACGTTTAAATCTGTATAAATCCCATTTTTTATTCATGCAATGTTGTTTGTAGCCACGTGTGAGGGTTAGGGTTCCTGATAAAGGTTCGCTGAATTGGCAATATATTTTTATTTGAAACTTTTAAATTTTTTCATGGTACAGTTATCCCGGGGGTTCAATATGTTAAACATTGTCCCAGCCTTAAACGGTAACATTTACTTGCAACTCAGAAATTGTCAATTTTTTTTAAAAGGCATTCTATTTAGTATAAAAATATAAAAAATATATTTTTACAGAATTTTATATATCTTCCATAATAATCGGCAATTTATTTGGGATTTCCTTCATCCCGTTGCCAATATCCAAGAGGATCCCCAAAAAAAGGTGCCTGGTGGCGAGGTAATATTTTCTTAGCTCAAATCCAAAAACACAAATAAAATAAGGGAAGAAGGACTAGTATAAATTTTGTTTTTCCCCTTCAGAATGGCGTAAAAAAATGAAATTATTGTCAAAATCTTATTCATTAAGTAAATTTTTTGGTCTACGGTTCAGCCGTTTCGGAGAAATTTTCCTCACCGACTTTGAATAAAGCGTTCCGTGAAAACCGCGTTTAAACTTTTGGGAGGTGATTACAGTAGAAAATTCTTACACATACACACATATCTCCAAAACTATTTTCATGCAAAACAATAAATTAAAATGCATAAGTGGATATAACCACTTAAGCAATATATGAACAAAGTGATTATAAGAATTACCAAAGTTACCACGGTCATTAGTTATTTACTTACCAAAAATTTATGTTTTTCAGTTTTCAAAATTTGAAAAAAAAATACTTCATACCTACAGCAAGGAGAAGCCTTGTATCCACACAATACAACATACTATGTTAGCACCATATTTTGCTGGGTACTGTAGTATAACTTGCTAGTTTGCAACTCAAACACTGTAAGATTTTGCTAAAAATGTCCCAACTCTGCTGAAAGCTCCTGAAAGCTTTTGACTGCACACACCCACTAGGAAAGTCTCGCCAAACTTCTTATTTTGTAATAATGAAATTATTCTGTCGATTAAGTGGATATATTAAGTCCACTATTCATATAACATTAACAAATGTTGATACTATCGGATCACCAGGGTTTGAGGACCTCACACTCCACACATTTCACGTTATTTTGCATTATTAAATTTTGAGTATATGAATCTACACAGCGAATACTCTGGTCTTCTTTAGCCGCAATAAACTCTATAGCCACGCATTTCATTCCTTAATTGCAGTTTGCTCAGCACTAAGACGTAAAAGTTTTCAGGAACACTGTTCCTTTACTTCAACCCTCAAAACTAGCTATACTTTTAGGACTTTCTTTTTTTTTACTCATTTTAAAGTGAGACTAGGCTGAATTTCTAACCCAGTGCGCCGTGGTAGCCTGCTCTGCGTCTACGTCAGGGTCGACAAGGAATATACCGGTAATATTTTGCTATAACTTGAGGAATTAATTGGAAATATAATATTTGTAGCAGAAACTTTCCACTGGAACCACGTGAACGATTTTTTCAATAGATACGTAATATAAATTTTATACTGAAACTGAAAACTCAAAAAAAATTTTAAATAACTCGTTAAAGTGATCTTTTCTATCAACAATTTGCACGGTTATAAATTTTAGAATCCTTTCAACTGACACTTTATTATGAACCCTTGAAAGGTATTCGAGAACTTCGCGATATTTATCATCTATAGAGAAAATTCGAAAATCGTCGAAAAAATATTAAAATTTAAAAATCGGATCTTATTATCAACTCAATGAACAACGTGATTTTCTATGTTATGGGAAACCCCTTCAAAATTCCGTCCCACAAAATACAAATATTTTACATCTTAACACTCTAGTAATACAAATTAACCAACATTTATTCAGTCGGAACTCTTAACTTTCCAATCGAACCCTTGTGAGTCCCCACCTGTTGCTATACACACGGGTATAGTTATGTACACGTAAGCTTTTACGCTGCTGGCGTTTACATCCACCGATTGGTTGCTACATTTTGTATCACTTTATCTTATTATGTATGTTTTTTTTCTGACGTTTTATTTTTCATCTTTACTTTGGCTCCTGCAGCGCCGCCAGGACAGATAATCCGTTTAGATTTTCGTAATTCATTCCACATTGAAGCGAAAGAGGAATGCAAATTTGATGTTCTCGAGGTAAGAGCACTCAATTATATGGCTCATTTGCTTGTATAAAGTGTTAAAATATAGTGTAAATACTCGTGCTTTATATTTATTCTCAACTATATATGTATGTATGCTTCATTTCCTTTATGTGTGTATGTATAGATACGTGATGGCCAGTACGGCTTCTCGAACCTGCTTGGCAAATTTTGTGGCACTGATTTTCCACCGGAAATCACATCGAAGGAACGTTACCTTTGGTTGCATTTTCAATCGGATGAGAGTATCGAGTATTCAGGGTTTACTGCTGTTTATGAATTTATGGATCGAAGTAAAGAAGGTGAGTTGATAATAACGAAGTTAAAAGAGTTAAAGATATTACTTGCAGTACTTAGCATAATATTTACACCCTATGTATTAAGTTTGCCACGAAATTTTGTAACACTCAGAAACAAACGCCGAGCACCCTATAAAATATATATATATAAATGAGTAGCATGACAGGGCAAGCTTGTCTGTTTGTCTTTCTGTATATGCGTGAACTAGTCGCTCAGTTTTTGAGATATCGATCAAACATTTTTCATCCGCTAGTTTCTCACTTAGAAACTGCTCATTTGTCGTCTATATCAAATATTATATATCATATACATAGTTGCCATACAAACTGAACAATCGCATTAAAGTGCCTGTATAGAAAGCTTTTTCATTTGACGATATATCTTCAAGAAATTTTGCATGGATTATTGCCCAAGGCAACGGTATATCCGCGCAAATTTTTTAGATCGGACCACTATATCATATAGCTGTCATACCGAACAAAATCAAATTTTTGTATCGAGAATGTTTACATTTGTTTTTACGTTTTCTCTTGTTTTTCATAATACCTCGTGTATTATAATATATTTATTTTAATTATTATCAATTATATAATATAATATATATTTGTGTGCATTAAAGTGTTTTTTCCTTGTACTTGTAATTGTATTAATTGCGTGTCCACCAACAGCGCCCACCACCGATCTGAACTGCACAATCGAAAAGTCGGGTTTCGAGGATTACGTCAACTCCACCGATGTGCCCGAAGACATCCGTGACACTGTAATCAAAAATCGAGTACCGTTAGATTGCATTTGGCGCATACAGGTGCAGGAGAACTGGAAGGTTGGCCTCACCAAACCAAGCATTACAATTTGATTAAAATTAATTTCTCATTTTCTTTCCCTCCTCCGACTCTTTTTTCTTTTCTGGAATTTGCAGATACAAATGAAATTCGTGGATTTCCGTTTGATCAAACCGAATGACTGTGATGCGAATTTCTTGGACATCTTTCCCGAACAAACCATCATGCCTCTTAGGTGAGTAAGTATTAGGCAAATGGAAGCGTTTAACGCGCGTGACCGTGATTGTGTGTGCGTTAGCAACATTTTACTGCCGCTCTCGCTCAATTTGATTGTGGCCACAAAATCATGTCAAACTTCATTTAACATGCAAACACAGAAGCAGCATAAAAATCATACATACATATGTGGGTGTATATATGTATGTGAATGTGCTTGTGTGCAGATAAATGCATGCTTTCAATCATCAATGTCACTTTTACTATAAAATTACGAAATAACAAACTCACACTGGCTTACAGCGCATGATGATGAATGTGTGGGTGAATATGTGTATGTGCTCGCGTCGCCTTTCACTTTAATCATTCAGTGTGACCAATCAAATACAACAACAAATGTTGCATATATGTAACTACATGCTTTATATAGCGTCAAACATTTGTGTTGTTTTTTTTATTTTTTGTCTTGCTTTTTTTAGCAATTTCCTCATTTTTTACTTGTAGAAAAAAAAACTTTTGCGGTTCTGCAGGTGAAGGCATCACATCCGATTCGAATACGCTGAATATTCGTTTCTTTGCCGAGCCAGCGGCCATCAATTCAACATTTTCCATTTTATTTACGGCTTTTCGAGATAAAGGATCTGGTAAGTGGTGATTAAAAACATAACAAAAAAATATCTATAAAAAATAAATAATGTGTAATAAAATAATACAAACATTCACAAAAAAATTAAATAAAAAACGAAATTACTAATATTCAACTAATTAAATAACTAAAATATTAAATAAAACATGTAAGCCAGTTCTAAGTTCGGGTGTAGCCGAACATTTTATACTCTAGCAACTTGCAAAGATCAAAGCCCGGGAAATTACTTCAGGTGTTGGCAAAATTTAATATTAAAGGAAGTATTAATCCGATTAATCCCATTTTTAACACAAAAACATAGTATTATCGAGAGTTTCCTGATTGACCGATATTTTCGGTAAAAAGTCAACTATCGGCACTGGGGTTCACATATTCAGTACCTAAGGGCGTGAACAGTTTTGGTTCAATTTAGACAATTTTTGGTCATAAAACGTCTTATTCAAGCAAAGTATTACCCCGATACAATCATTGTTGTTTAATTTGCATAACGGAAAGTGAAAGAAGAAGAGTGAATTAAAAATGGAGTTGTATGGGAAATAGGTTGTAAACGTGGTTGTAATCCGATTTCGCCCATTTTCGCACTATAACCTAGAAATATGAGAAAAATAATACGTACCGAATTGGGTTGAAATCGGTTAAGCAGATCCCAAGATATGAGGTTTCACCTTAATCAGCCGGATTTCAACTCGTCTCTTCATTCTTCTCATTTATATATAACCCTATATCTAACTCGATTAGTTTTAGGTGATACAAACAACCGTTAGGTGAACAAAACTATTATTCTCTGTAGCAGCAGGTTGCGAGTGTATCAAAATTTAATTTTGATCGTTTTGTATGGCAGTTATAACGTATTGTGGTCCGATATCTGCGGTTCCGATAAATAAACAGATTTTTAGCTAGAAAAGGAGAGGCAAAATTTAAGACCGATATCTCAAAAACTGAGGGACTAATTTGCTTATATATATTTAACAAAATAACTTTACGAAATTTGGCAAAGATTATTACTCAGTGCAACACTACAAATTGTTCACATTTGACATTCAAACCAACCGGTCATAACCTAGATAAAGAGCTTTATAAAGATATTTTTCCTTATTAAGTGACCTGAAGGGTGTAGCTATCATGCAAACCTTTGACCAGTTACGTTTTCTGCTTTAGTTATACATACAAGATACATAACTATTAATATAGGGAATTCACCTGTGAAGGGCATTATGGCTTGGGTGCAGCCAAAGTTAATGCTTTTTGGTATTTATGGTAGGTTGTAATCAATCGATAAAAATATGAGCATAGCTCCAAAATTTTGATAGCGTCGCATGACAAAAAAAAAATTGCTATCCGGTGGTATTATTTTTCCTTTTTTTTTAGATATTATATTTGATATTACTTAATTTTCTTCCATATTTTCACCTAATTCGATTTACTTTTGTTGTTATTAACTTTTTCTTGTTGTTGTACTAGGGGGTTGCACTGAAGAAGAATACGATTGTGAGGATGCCACATGCATTGACCTCAAACTCAAGTGTAATTCACGTGACAACTGTAAATTTCGTTGGGACGAGGATAATTGTAATGTAAGTGATTTTTATCAATTTTTCTCGCTTTCATGCTAGTAGTTCAATATTCGAGTACACAACTAGTCTCAAAAGCACACACATAATATATACATATATTTAATATAATGCCCGTTATTTCAAAAATTGATTTTGTTTTTCCCCCAAAAATAATTATCCAACATAAACAAGCTCTTTACTTTCAATTCAAAGCGTGCTTATATAATTTTGATTTTCCAATATGTTTAACATGTGATTTTTTAATCTTTGGTCTGCATAAAAAAATCAACTTGGGAAATAATGCACACCCTAAGTATACATATATATTTTACTAGTATATGTACAAGTATATATATCCATATACACGTTAAAGTCGTACGTGCTTCCTTATGATGACAGCAATTGCAGCGGGAATTGGTCAAGTTTAGCTTTAAATGGAATCGAATGAACTATCAAGTGACTGAAATGGTAAACGAACAATGAAGCTATCAACCTGTCAAAGTTGTAAAGTGCACATGTTGTTATTGTGAACTGCACTTAATGGTATATATTTTTAATATTAATGCAGCTGTCGAAATGACAAATTGACAATACATAAGTATAAGTTATAGGAGAATACTATGATATACATATGTATATATGTTTGGAGGAAAACTTAAAGCATTTCACTAGAAATCAAAAGTATGGAAGTTTGTCGCTGATAAGTTTTATTCCCAAAAGTTCAATATAAAGTTAGAAAGAAATATTTGAAATTACATACGCTTCGACTGAAATAGTGTTTAGCTACTAAAATTTTATAAAACTTGAAGAAACAACTCGTTCACCTTGCTATTCCTAACGATAGAGAGAGTAAAACCTCTTTAATCATTGTATGAAGGTAAGACGGAATTTTGAATAAGTTTTACTTCGGAAGATTTCGAGCTTTTCTCAATGTTATTTTATTCATTACAAAGTCGAAAAAGCTAATGGGCGTTAAATGGAGTGAAGGCGTGGTTGTGAAATATAAAATAATTTATTTCTTAAAAGAGATGGATCCTTTTAGTAATTCAAGAAAATTCTGTAAAACTCATTTAGTTAAACATTAAAGCCTAAAGTTATTTAAAAACACCGACAAGAGCTTTTTCGCTTATTTAAAAGCATGTTGGAGTATGATTTGTCGGGCCTGGAACTACAAGTTTCTTGATCAACTCTATCATTACATTTTGTATTATGTTTCTCCAACATTTCTCTAACTGAGAATGTATTAGAGATCTGTGAGGATTTTGGAACATTTCTTTCCAATCTTTACCTCCTCTGGAAGTCATTAGTGAGCACTGCTAGGTCAAATAAAAAGATAGTTGAATTTATATCAGATAATCGCATTTCACTTAAGTTACATCGGATAAAAGCTTTGCGACTGCCAAAAACTACATTTCCACGCACTTTAATTTTTATTATCAACTTCAAAAACGGGCCCCTTAGCCAATACAAGCATGCCACCACTGGCCTTCAGTGCCTTCAGGGATTTTGAGTTTTTTGGTTTAGCTAATTTTTGGAGCGCCATCCGCTAGATTGTTTGACAGTTTCCTTATTATATTAATAAGGGCACGTCTCGTCACCTGTAATAATAAACGTAGGATTCTTTGCTACGTTATCATGCATTTCCTTTCCGACCTCTACTCGAAATCGTTTTTGCAAAAGATTCAGGTAGCCGTGATTCGATTGGAAACACAAAATATTAGGCAAAACCGTTGTTCAGTTTTTTTCCATGGTAAAAATCATTAAACATGCTTTTCGCGTCGTGAGCAAACAGCAGACAAACACATTAGTTGACATTGAGATCAAACACACAAACATAAAAAAGCTTGTACCAATATAAGACATTTTTTTTATCGATTCGACTTGCGCGCGCAGTTTATAAGGACTACTGGGTCAAATTTCATCAGATAATATTATATAGTATTAATATATATCACATATATATGCATATATTGTATAAAATTCTTATAAGTAAGTTTATTTTACTTAACTTAACTTTATCTTTCGTATACAATTTTTAATATTTTCTTTTTATTTTTAATAATAGAAAGAAACCTCGGAAGGATCTGAGCATATTTACATTATCATGGTTGTCTTCGGTCTAATCTTGGGTGGTATGATTTTGACATTCCTCGTGAACTGCATACGCAAGATAATGCATGATCAGAAAATCATACGGGTAAGTGCAAGAAAATAATATAAACACACATATACAGGGTGCACCATCTTTTATGTTGGTTTGAAAACGTTAAATAACTTTGAAAAAAGAGAACGTTTTTCGGTATAAATCTATTGACCCCAGCAAAATTATGCTGTATTTTGTTAATAATTTTTCGGAGGATCTTGTTATATCACTTTGATTTCTAGCCGAATATTTGCTTTAATTATTTAATAGTCCGAAGATTACTGGTGTGATCTTAATCAAGAAGTAAGGGAAATGAAATCTGGATATCTGGGTGACCTGTCAATGTCACCTCTTTTCGTCAGCAGTTGTTTGGGAATTTTTATTACCAAAACTAATCTGTGTGACAAGACACATTATTTTGTTGAGACCTGAACAGTCAAAGCCGTTTTAATTTGCACAGTAAAATTTTTTAATACAAAAATTAACTATTTTTCGAGTTACACGTGATCTCCGACGGCGTTAAAAACTGGTTCTCCACCACTGTAATAATTCCGGCCTTCTCCGTGGATGAACCCAAACCAAAAAAAATTTTCACTAGTAGATGTTGTATACGCAATGACGTTAAACGGTCGCAAACAAATTAAAAATTTATCGAGGGTAGGTCATTGTATGCAGAACTATATACAGAATATGCAGAACAAAATTGTTAGTGTTAGCATCATTTCTGTCCGAGTAATCACTGCAGCAAGTTTAAAAAATACTCTTTCGACAAAAACGCGTCTAAAGATAATCTGATTAAGCTGATTGAGCTAAACGATATGCGCTAAAAAGTAGTAAAAACTTTCGAAATATAAAAAATCGATTATTGAAATATTTCACACCAAGAGTTCTAAATTATACATATTTCTGGGTATACCAGCATAAAAGTTGGCGCACCCGGTATTCGCATTTTTGTACGTGAATTGTAAACGCTTAACAATCATACATTAGAGCAATGAAATCGATACATAAATAAGTGAAATTAGCATTAAATAAATGAAATAAAACTAATCGCAACAGTGTTGCCAACTCACCAAACACACCATGCATACGCTAGTAGCAAATTTAGTGTAGAAAATAATTACGAAATACTAGTATGTAACATACTTTGCAGTAGTTAAGCAATACTTAGTAAGATAAATTGTAAATAAGACGATGTAAACAGTTTTGCATGGATTTATGTACCGATTTTGAACTATGTGAGTTTGAAAACTAATTTTCTTTTACACTTTTTAAAACATTATTTGCACGTTTGTTTCACCGTAGCTTATAAAAAGATAAAAAAAAATTAACTATTCTACTAAAAATTAGATAAAAGAAAATTAAATTTGGAAATTCTGAACTTCGCATTTGCTGAACTTTATACTAAAGAGTTTTCGTATCGAACAAACATTCCAGAAATACCAACACACATAGACCCACACACACACACACACACACCCAACTATATACACACATATCCATAAATATCTCTTTCAACAAATTTTGGTGTTGGAAATTTATGACGGTCCATTATCAACGTTTTGCATTTTTTTTAAAAGTGCCGTTAGCCATTGAAATACAATTTTATAAAAGTATATAAAAAATAGCGTTTGCACCCTTGCTGTTTACAGCACTCGCATTTGCGCGGGAAAAGGCTGCTGGCACTTAAATAGTTATCTTTTTTTTTGGTGCAAAAGTCTTCACCATTATTTTTTTAGGCATTTATATATTGAGTGTACTAACATACATACACATAACTACAAAAATGAATGTATTTATAGTAAGGCAAAACACTCTAAGCTTCTTACAAGCATACAATTTGCAGCCATCAGTGGGGAATATCACACACACATACATACATACAAACACATACATCTTTCATACATTCATTTAGCATTGAATAGAATAACCCTTAAAAGCATTGACCTTGGAAATTGCGAAATTTATGTTATTATTATATATGATATATTCTACGCCACAAGCCACACATGCTCTCACAGTTCGGGAACTTAAAATAAATTTATTTCTTATTTATAGAAGTGGCAACACGAGTGTGTTTTCTTAATTCAATATTTGCAATATAAATTTATTCTCAATTCAATAGGAGAGTAATTAACCTAAGTGATATTGCTGTAAATTTGTATGTATGTGATGAAACATAATATACATAATTGTTTGCTCGTTTCGCTACCGCCCACGCGTTTTCGTCACATATAAGACCGAGTGTGCTCAATTGCCTACTCAATTAATACTATAATGTAAGAGTGAGTCCATATCAGGGTTGCGAGTTTTTCAATTCAAAAGCTTGGATCAAAAATTAAATTTAAACCCTATATTGGGATTAAAAATTAGATTTTCATTTTTAATCCCGATTTTGGGATTCATTTTTTAATCCAAGAAGTTTGGAATTAAAAATTTTAAATTTAAAATATTATTTTTTGATTTGAATGAACGCGAAAAACTGTTAATTCTAAAGCAAATAATTGTTTTAATTCTTAATAATATGCTTAACATTACAATTATGCCTTCACGTGGGACAAAACTTCATATTAACAAGAAAGAAGGGCTAAGTTCGGATGTAACCGAACATTTTATACTCTCGCAAAGTCAAATAGTATACTCGTTTGTGATTTCTTTGTGGATTGACTGATATTTTCGGTAGAAGGTCAACTATAGGCACTGGGGTTCACAGGGCTTGCACAGTTTTGGTTCGATTTAGATAATTTTTGGCCACAACGGGGCATACTTTCATCGCATTATTCACGCAATGTTTTTTCCCGATACAGTCATTGTAGCCTGTTTTGCATAGTGGAAAGTGTAAGAATCAGATGAAATTGAAAATGGTGTTATATGGGAAATAGGCGTGGTTGTAGTCCGATTCGCCCATTTTCGCACTATGACATAGAAATATGAAAAGATCGTCATGCACCGAATTTGGTTGAAATCGGTTAAGCAGATCCCAAGATATGGGTTTTCACCTAAAAGTGGGCTGTGCCACGCCCACTGTCTAATTTTGAACGCGGTTCCTACAAAGTCTCTCATACCATCCCAGAGATAAAATTTAATGTCTCTGGCGTGTTTCGTGCTTGATTTATCGCGCTTTTAGTAGTTTTTAACAGTACCGTTATATGGGGAGTGGGCGGAGTTGCCACCCGATTTCACCCATTTTCACACTGTAGGTAGAGGTTCTAAAAACATTTGCTTGCAGTGAATTTTGTTATTATAGCATTATCGGTTTAGGAGATATGCACATTAAACCTATTAGAGGCGGGACCACGCCCACTTAAAAGAAAAAATTTTAACTGCAGATGCCCCCCCCCCCCTATTGTGATCTTGTATCTCGTTGTGGAGCTTAGTTATGGCAATTTATTTGTTTTTGATTAATGACGTTTTGTGGGCGTGGAATTGGTCCGATTAGGCCCGTCTGCAATACCAACCGTCTCACGGTATCAAGAAACATGTCTACCAAGTTTCATAAAGATATCTCAATTTTTACTCAAGTTAGAGCTTGCACGGACGGACAGACGGACGGACGGACAGAGAGTCATCCGTCAACTCGTCTCTTCATCCTGATCATTTATATATATATAACCCTATATCTAACTCGATTAGTTTTATGTGATACAAACAACCGTTAGGTGAACAAAACTATTATACTCTATAGCAACAGGTTGCGAGAGTATAAAAAATGTTGCGAAAGAATTCAACATTCATTATTCAACGAAAACGTGAATGGATTATAATAAAAATTTGGTATTTTATTAAGTTATATTACAGGTTATAAGCCCACTTAGTTTTATTCCTATATTTAATTTCGCGTCAGCTAAAATTATATTAAAATCGTCTTCAAATGAAATATACTCTTGTACGAGATTTAAACTCAACTGAAGAGTTTCAATTTAATATACAAAAACAACCCAATATAATTTTTTTTAATCAGTGCTCAGTGGATTGACGATGTAAAAACTGCGATTGCTTTTTTGAGTACGAACATAAGGTTCTCGATGGTACGGTATTTTTGCGATCATTACAGATTCAACAAACATGTTTACCAACCTCATAATGGTCCATCTACTCGGGGAAGTGCCGCCCAAATCCCGTCTGAATTTCCTTTGGACAAAAATGATGGGCTGCAAAGCATAGTACCACTACACTATCCAAACCGTCTATTCGGTATCCCAGGCATTCATTTTTAAAAAAACTTAAAATATAACCTTCCAAATAAAAAAAATAAGTCGATTACTCATACAGAAAAAAAATTATTACGGTTTGTTTTTGTAGCACGATTCGAAAATTGAGTTGATGTGGAAAACGTCCATCAAAGGATCGGAATTCATTATATAAGAGATATGATATAGACCAACTCCATTCATAGTCAGCGCTAAGCACTTAATATTCGTTTATAAATTTTATAAAAACTTGTCCACTTAATTTCGTTAAAATATCACACATTTTGACCAATCTAAACGGTTTAATGTCAGGAGGAAAGGCGCCAATCACTATGCAAGGTATATTGGGGGCAGAGAATCATTTAGGCAATCAGCCAAAATTAATATTTGACATTGCTCACGTATACTAGAGACCATTTTTCAAACAATTTTATAAAAATATAACTCACACACTGACCGACATATAAGGCATAAGGTTTGTTAAAATAACGAAAATCATTTGTCATATGTAGTATATAGGAATCGGAGTAATTTTCGGCATTAAACTACAGTATATTCAATATTATATTTTGCTATTACTACATATTATTGACAGAAAATAATGCTATCTATCATTGAGGTACCTCACTTACCATAAACAATATATAAGGAGTAAAGTCAACCGGATATTTGAGAATCCTGCTATTAGTTATATGTGTGCTAGGGCAAGTTTTCGTCCGATTTTATCCATTTTAGGCATAACGTTATAAGAAAAACACGCTCAGCCAATTTTATTAAGATAACTTACATATATTATATTGGTCGATAAACGCGATATAAAGTACCCGTAAAATCTTTCTATCTGATATATGAGGGCTAAAGGAA